CTTCCATTACCTGGCTGTTGTCTTTTAGTTTGTTGTTGAATTCGATAAACTATATAGAATAATAACATATTTTAAATATTTAAATTACATTGAATATTACAGATTTTAATTTGTCAATATCATTGAATTACCGTAAATCGAAACCAAACGCATTTGTGGTTGAGTCAGTAATGCTCACTGATAAGTCTCGAGTTCAAATCCTCGGGCAGATGAAGGTCGATAGTTTGGGAACAGCAACTCTTCTAGGAGAGACAACTCCAAAATCAAACATCTGTTGCCTTGTACTTTGTTCTTGGTTAAACAAAGAATATGGAAGTCCAAAAAGAAAATCAGGCTGAAATCTGAGTCAATGGCGCATAACCAGTTGACACGTATTGTGTTGGAAGGAATTAAAATTAAGAACGAAGAAGAAAAAAATTATATAAATAAGAGTTATTAGATTTATCACGGACCCACAGATAAACATGCAGATAGACAGACATAAACAAATAGCATCATAAATGATTAAACAACACTTCAATAGCTAAAATACCATTACCTTGCAAGTTGTTTTACTTTTATCCTCGAAGCTGTGTCCCAAATTTTCAATTATCACCAAACGAAATTGAAAAAAACATAGATTTGTTGAATTTGATTTAAAACATTTATTACAGAATAGACTAAATAAAGCTGCTTTCAGTATATATGAGATAGTTTTGTTGTCATATTTAAGAGGACTTTCTATTTTAGACCACTCGCAAAGCTACAGTTTTATATAAAAAATACTAAGTGTAAAAAAAAGAAATTTCCTATCGTTTTTTCAAAGGTTTACTATTTAGGTATTATATTTACATTTGTTATTCCTAATAGCCTTGCATAATTTTTTTAAGTATTTTTTTTTTTACTTGGGACATAATATGTCCCTACGGGCCTAAAGGGAGCTAACTTTATTTTTTACAAGTTTCTTCTTTATGTAATGATGTGAATTTTCTGAAGAAAAATGACGACAACGCAAGTGTAGAAGCTGTAATAGAACGACCTGTTAAAGTCCAAGAGCAAATTGTCGCCCCTACGATAAGGCCTACACCTTATTCTAGTCATTCTGTTTTGCATACATTGCATACATCGTCAATCTTACATGCTATAGTGACTAATATTCCCTCTAATCTGGATGGTCGCGCGACCGCGCAGTATTTTTTAACATGTCGCGCTGTCATTTCGTAAAATACATGTTATCTTGTATAAGACTTTTAGAACACCGCTCACAAAAATACACGATGTACACTAGATTTTTCCCCTCAGAGGGAGCATCAATGGTGACAATTACCCCTCTGACATCCCCCACCAGATATTACCACCTCCAAGCAATTACCTCTCGTCCAGTTATGGATAAGTTATGACTAGGGTTAGGTTAATGTTCGTTTTAGGATTAGCTGTAGGTTTAGAGTTGGAGTTAGGGTGTTTTGTTAGGGTTAGTTATAGGCTTGGGGATTAGGGTTAAGATCAGGGTTCTTTAGCATCAGGGGGGAGGGGATTTGACGGTGTGCTATTGTCCTAGACCCAAAGCTTACATATCATAAATATAACTAGACTTGCCCAAAACATGAATAACCAAACGTCGTTATGATAATTGAAAAAGGAGACTGGGGAGCAAGATATTATTTTCAACTATAGGCTTCTGAAAACACAGTTTCAAATAAAAGTTATTGACTATGGCTATGTGAAATTGACAATAGATGTCTATTGATATCAAGATCCCGATGTTTTTAGGCAATTAAAATTATTGTTATTTTGAGTGCTTTTGATCATAGTAAACTGTACATCCCACAGTAAGGAATTATTTTTCAAACTCATTCTCAAAACATTTTTAGAATGAAATTTTTGTGATGGGATACCATGTACTTCTAAACTTTGAAGACTACTGGTCCACTGAACCTGATCTCCATGTTTCATACATTGATAATGTGATGCCAAGATAAAGATTTGAAGTGAAAAAGCAATGTATACATACATGTGACAAGAATTCAACGCTGGTTACCATACAAAATCAAGCTTGAATATAGGCAAATGATAGCTTGAGCTAACATTTAGGGACACATCAAATAAGTATCACCTCAAGACCTGGTCATAGAGGAAAGAATTTCACTTCAATCACACTAAAAGTTGATAAATCAAAGGAAAAAAAACGCAGGAGTTATGCACAATGTGCAACAGAAAAGATTGAGAACAGAGCGGACATAATGTGTAATATCTGCCATGTTCGCATATGTTAGATAACATCACGTAACTACTTCCAAAAGCTTAATTGATAAATGATTTTACACTCATAAAGGACATATATGTGTTCTCATTACTGATATTTTTATTTGTAATGTACCAGAAGAACAAACGTTTGATCACTTTATTTAAATACGAGCTGACCATCTAGTTGTTTTACTTTCTGCTTTTCAGTAATTCATAATTTGTGAGCTATCAGTACCAATGCTGCCACTGAAAATATTTGCTTTAAAACACTATCAGTAGGTCGTTAAGGACGATAACCATCCCCCCTCCTTTCCCCCAACCCCTAACCCGGCTTTATGCAATTATAACCGATAAAATTCTGGAGTATTCTATCTTTTTCAGTTTCTCCCTTCACAGCCTTATTAGTCTATCTTTATATAATGATAGAAACCTGTCCATATTGATCTGTTTAAAATAACCTTGCTAACTTTCCGATGAGTTTATGTAAGCGTTCGATAGAGTACCAACTCGATACTATTTTACTTTCCTTATTTGTACTTGATACTTATGTCATAACCTTGATCTCTCAGCAATATTCATTGGAGCTTTTGTGGAGTAAGGGAAAATGTTTTTGCCATGATTGCCTCTAAAGGGTTATAAAGTAAAGTAAAGTTTCCCTTTCAAACCTGACGGTCTATAGGGCAAGTGAAGTAGAGTTCACTTGTTTCTGTGACCTCGGCATATGAAGAGATAGTGTTGTCAGCACTATGCCCAGCCGCCTTTACTTTCCCTAACTTTATTCACAGTGGCGTAGCGAGGTCGGGTGTCACCCGGTGCGGCATTTGAATGGTGTCACCCCCCCCCCCCCCCCAGAGGCGTAGCGACCCTTCCCGAGGACAAACTTTCAAACTTTCGATTTGACCCCCCCCCCTCAATTTATTCTCTATATATTTTGCTATTTTTGCCCTGGTGTCAACCCCCCCCCCCCCACCCCTTAATGGTGTCACCCGGTGCGGTCCGCACCCCCCCCCCCCTCGAGACGCCTCTGGTTATTCATCTCCACTCGATAAAACAATACAAGAAAATGAACACCGAATCAAATAAAGAAAGGGCCTTTATCATTTCTAAGGGACGGAGTGGTCTAGCGGTAGAGAGCTGGACTGCTAACCCGTAAGTCTCGAGTTTGAATCCGGGTTCAAGTCAGTAGACCGTCCCTGAGTCCACCCAACTCTGATGGGTACCTAACTCACGTTAGGGAAAGTAAAGGCGGCTAAAGGCTTATGGTCACCCTCAATCGTGGTGTGTCGACCAAACGTGTACTGGTGAAATGTATCAACCGCAAATATAATAGCTAACATTTTCCTTCTCGATATGTGCGTATCTGGTCTTTGGTCTCTGTGTCATTCCTGAGACCGAATTTGGTGACCCAAATCAAGAAGTAACAATACAATATGATGTTACCAAAAGCATTTCGGCGTTGTGATAATTCAGAAAGGCGAACCGGTCAGCGACAATGGATCACAATTCGCGTCTGACAAGTTTATTCAGTTTCAGATGGAGTAGGACTTAGAACTTTTTACCATTACACTACACAAGATCCAACGGATTAGCAAAATATGCAGTCGATAAGTCGATAAAAAATGTGTTGTATAAAACATGGATGATCGTCATCATGACTATTTTTTATTGAAAACTTCCTTTTTTTGAGTCACTAATATTATCCTTTTGTGTTGATGTAAGCAGGGATAAGATTAGTTGTTCACTTGTCAGAACCATCGACGTGCTTAACTATCTTCTATTCGTCCACATTCAAACCTTTTATTTTTTTTTTCATTTATAGTTTCAGAATAAAGTTGCTTTCATTGAAAACAAGCATTCGAATGAAATAAAATGCTATTGAACGTAAATGAATGAAATCAATATAATAATCATTGTAAGGTATTTTATATAGGCCCTACACTATTTTATAACAAAGAATACACAATCGGTTACACGTTAAGTGCCTCTCATGTAATTAGTCAATATATACAAAGTTCAAATTCGATAATCAATGTGTGTACGTTCTTCATAATCTGCATAGTTTTAATTGACCATAGCAAACGAAAAAAACACATTAAAAACAAATTATGAGCTGCTCATAATAAACCTTTAGATCTATGAAGCAGATGTGTTCAATAGTTTAGAAATATGTGTTTTTTCCCCTTTATAATTTTGATATCTTATTGTTCATGCTATTATACATTATTTTAATATCAGTTGTCATTATACGTTTATTGAAATATTTACATAAGTATATCAAATACCGTTTTTCGTTAATAATAAAGAAATATTTAAATATTATAATAATTATGAAAAGGAGAACTAGCATGTTTAAAACTATCTGAACTTAGCAAAAAATACCGGAAGGCTGATTATTTAAATTTAAAATAATGTTTCTGTTATTTCAGACCTTATTTCAACATGTGGCTACGGAGTTTTTATTATGTATTGCCTACTGTGTTGATCGTTCAATTCTTTACTTTTGGAATATGCGGTATACTACTTTAACAATTTCTTTTTAAATATCAGTAATTCGCTCTAAAAAATATTAATATAACGTACAATCAAAGAGTAAATTTAAAGCGTATTAAATGTTACTGTTAATTCTTTCATATTAGCATTGAATGTTTCTGAATATTTCGTTATTTAAAACAATTATGTAGTAATGATTGCGTATTTCTACCTGTTAGATTTTATGTATAAAATTACATCTTAATTATAGTTGAAGACAGCTGGTTTGGAAACAACCAACAGTTTTTTTGTCGATGTACCGACAACAAATGTTTACCTGATGGAACTTGTGCTGATGGTGCCAGATGTTTAAGTGAATGGTTTGGTCCGTCTTGTCAATATCGTGAGTACAATAAGTTTATTTTATATTTTATATTTTCATATATATATATATATATATATATATATATATATATATATATATATATATATATATATATATATATATATATATTTATATATACTTATATAGGCTATATTTACTTATATATGTGTGTAAGTGCGTGTATGTGTATAACAGTAAGATAAATAACAGTAAGATCAGCATCGTAGATTTGTAAGAATGTAAGTATACAGTGTTGAAAATAAACGTGACCGGAATTGTGGTAGACTTATACATAGACTATCAATTAATTAAGAACGTTCTAGAGCTAGTAGGCTACATATTGGTAGTACACGTTATGGCTTTAGATTATATGCTTGTTTACTTGGTTTGATATATGTGTATTTCGCGTAAGATAAATTTATGTAATGTAAAAAACAACGGGTACAGTTCGCAGCAATTGGGATACGATACAATATATCATTTTAGTTTGATGAATATTACTGTATGGACAACTAGTGTTATTGTGAGTTCTATTGTTTTTAAAGACAGACGATAACCTGCTGATGCATTACACAATTTTATTTACAATGGTTAAATCCAGAAAGAATAAAGTTCATTTCAGTAATAAAACATCCACCTTTTGATCAAGCACTTATACTTAAGTGCATGAATACACAAGATAAAACTCACAGGAATAATACTGGATACATTTCAAGTTCTAACAGCAAAGACATAGGTCTATAGCTTCCACTTGCATTCATCTAGGCGACCTCTCGAACACCTCATTTACCTCAACTAAATAGCTCTACATTCACTCCATTCAGTCGGTGAGCGATATCCAAAAAGCATGAAAAATACAGTGATTGATCGCTTACACATTCACTTCGGATGGTCATGCATTCAACTACAATATACATTTCACTTCAAATACAATGTCTTTTAAAAACATCTATTTTGGCTGATCATGGGTCTCAACACACTATCCCTTCATATGCTGAAAAGACAGAAACAGTTGAACTCTACTTCACCTACACAGTGTTACGCCTAGTCCAGATAGGCAACTTTATCATTCATACATTTAAAAAAAACAAAGTGAAAAAAAAATTAAGTTTTCCTTGGTCTCGAACCCGTCGCAAATGCATGGTATCAATTACACTATCATCTAATCTATTTAGGCATTATAGGGCTGGTAAGTAGGTCACCAACCAGTTCTACGGCTCAATAAAACTTGCATGAGCCATAGAACTGGTTGATGACCTAATTACCAGCCCTATAGGTCTCACGCAAAATAAATGAGGTAATTAAGAAACTTAACTTTCTTTAAAATATTTATTTTATCACAAATTAGCCAATTCCATAGCTAAACAAACAAAGATTTCTTTAAAATAATTAAGGTCTGGAATAGTTTAGTAAATAAATTTACTATTGGAATAGATTCTTGATCTAGATATAGTCTAGATCTAGATCTAGATCTATCTACACTTTCTTGAGTCTAAATTTAGATTTTCTGTAGATCTAGATCAAGATCTAGAATCTCTAGATCTAGATCTAGAATCCAAATAGATAAAATAAATATTATAATTTTAGGCCGGGAAAATTGTATTGTATACTTTTCATAACGTACGCCTAATTGATAAGTAGATCTAAATCAAATTTTTAAAAAATAGTTCATTTCTTTATATTATAAAATTTGAAGATGACGCCATTATTTTTGTGTTCTTTCCTTTAGTTATTTGCACACAATTTTTTAAATAATTAAAATGACAAAATAACGATGGGGTACCTAGTTTGTGAGACATTTTGCATAGTCTGCTAAACGGATAAACCTAAAATAAATATGCTAGTTAGAACGCTTAATAAAAAATAAAGATAGTCCCACTAAAAGCAGAGTTAGTCTCAATGTTTTACTATTTTAAGTAAATTTTTGAAAACTCACCTTTTAAACTCAATAAGAGATAAAAAAAACAAGTAAAAAGTTGAAATAAAAATGATACGAGAGTAATTGTCAATAACCGCTGCTAATAAGGAGGGCATATATGATTGGAATCATAATCGCGTTCTACCGTTTTTTAAACGGTTAACATACCAATGCGAACGACTACATTTGAATTAGAATTTTTTGTGCACGAAAGGTTTAAAGCCTGTGACGTCATATTTTATTTACTTGTGCAACTAGCTACCTTAGACTTAGCTTAAACTTGTGTCATGTGACGTCATTGTATAATGCGTCTTGTCACGATAATAAACTTTTCAGTTAGAAATCTGTTTCTACATTCGAATATGCTTTTATTTTTATTTTCCTCCTTTAAAGAAAATTTAGTTTATACATTTACTAGCGTACCCGTCCCCCGCGCGTTGCCGCGGGGATAGAAGAAAGTTTGACGAAATGTATTAGCAGGATTTCACCAACGCGTTACCAATCATGTTCTTAGACGCGTGACCGTCTTTTCTAAAAGTGAGTTATTTAAATGTAAACAATGCCTGCGCTTGGATCATAAATATCGGGACACGGGTTTACCTACACTACCGCATGAAAACATTGAGTGTACATTAATCACTCACCGAAATAATATGGTAGAACACACTTCGGTGACCGCACAGAGACGTGTCAGAGACGTAGAGGGTCGCTCTCAGCCCCCCCCCCCCCCCCCCCGATTACACTATCGCATAGGCGCGGCGTACGACCCCTGGCTCCTTAAAACTAAAAGGCGCCATCGGCCAAATAGCATCCTGTTAATTATGATGCAGATTTCGTCATTCGCTAAAGTGACACAAATGAACAGGATTTTTTTCTTTAAAACGTAAAAAAATTATTTGACGTGTTTTAAATATCAGTGTGACTGATGCAATATGCTAGCGTTACTAGTGGTCTATTATTAGATGATCGATCTCAATTTCTGACTGGATTGTCAAATAATAGATACTTATTGCATCATTCGCAAAATGACGAAACTCTACAGTAGGCTGCTCATATTCAAAAAGTTATTTTTTTATCGTTCGCAAGGTGACGAAACTGTACAGAAGGATTTCCTCGCGTTACAAAGTTATTTTTAAAAGCCTGTTGTAGTTTTACCGCTGAATATAGTAGTACCCCTTACTTGCTATGCAGGACGCTCGCTTAACGGATGCCAAGTGCCAACATCAGAGGCGTAGCGACCCTTCCCGTCGCCCGGAGACAAACTTTTCGATTTGCACCCCCCCCCCCTCAAACTTTCGATTTGCACCCCCCCCCCCCCTCAAACTTTCGATTTACACCCCCCCCCCCTCAAGATTTCGATTTGCACCCCCCTCAACCTTTCAATTTATTTTTACGACCCATTTTGGCGCCCCCAAAGATCGGCGCCCGGGGACATTTGTCCCCCCCCCCCTCCTCCCCCTCGCTACGCTACTGGCCAACATAGTCGCTCTAAAATTCTGGGCGCCAAACCGTGTATTGACGAAAGTTGTGCCCTATAAGGCGACGCCCATAAGAAACTTTAGTTTTCTTTTTCGCAGAAATATTCTCGGGAGTACTCTCATCTACTGCCTAAAGTTTCATGGTACTCCGATGAACCGCATCCGAGTTTTATTTTTTATATACCGTATATAGATTAAAAAATCGCTCCCCTCCCGGGGGGCGCCGCCCTTGCAATGTTAAACAATATTTGTTTGCAGAACCCTACCATTGAGTGATCTAATCATCTCCCCAAAGTTTCATGGTACACGGATGAACGGCGTGAAACCGAAATTTTATTAACCGTATATAGAGAAAAATCGCAGCCTCCCGTGGCGCCCCCCCCCCTTGCGAAATTAAAAAAGTATTGCTTTACAGAACCCTTCCCTGAATTGTTTTAATCAACTCCACCAAAGTCTCATTGCTATCGGATAACGGTGTCACACCAAAATCGAGTTATATAGAGTATATAGAGAAAAATCGCACCCTCCCGTGGCGCTGCCCTTGCGAAATATAAAAATGATTTTTTACAGAACCCTTCCCTAGAGTTTTATAATGAACTCCCTAAAGTTTCATGCCTATCGGATGAACGGTGTCACTGCAATTCACTTTTATTATTTTTATACACCGTTAATAGAGGAAAATCAAACCCTCCCGTGGCGCCGCCCTTGCGAAATTAAAAATGATTTTTTACAGAACCCTTCTCTAGAGTGGTATAATGAACTCACCAAAGTGTCATGGCTATCGGATAAACGATGCCAAACCAAAATCGACTTTTATTTTTATATATCGTATATACAGAAAATACAAATTGCGCCCTGCCGGGGTGCCACCCCGGCGAATTTGAATTTTTTTTTTCGAAGAAACCTCCCCAGGAATATTCTCAACAACTTCCGAAAGTTTCATGCCAATCGGATGAACGGTGTCACTGCAATTCACTTTTATTATTTTTATATACCATATATAGAGGAAAATCGCACCCTCCCGTGGCGCCGCCCTTGCGAAATTAAAAATTATTTTTTTTTACAGAACCCTTCCTTAAAGTGTTCTTATGAACTCACCAAAGTTTGATAGCGATCAGATGAATGGTGTCAAAAAAAAGCGAGTTTTATTTTTATATACCGTATATAGAAAAAAATAAATCGCGCCCTGTCTGGGCGCCACCCCTGCGAATTTAAAAAAAATTTTTTCGTAGAAACCTCCCAAGGAATATTCTCAACAACTTCCCAAAGTTTCACGGCGATGTGATGAGAGGTGTAGTAATGCATAATGGACAGACACACAGACATTCATTGCTTTTTATATATATAGATAGATAGAAGATACCGTCCACCATATTATTTTCAGGGGTCAGCGTGGTCGAGTCGGTAAAGCTCATGGTTGCTAAACCTAAAAGTCTCGACTTCGAACCCTCGGGCAGATGACGCTCGTTAACTGGGGACAGCCACTCTTCTAGGAGAGGCAACTCCAAAATCAAAACAACTGCTGCCTTGTAGTTTGTTCTTGGTTGAACAAAGGCTATGAAAGCAAATCCAAAAAGAAAAGCAGGCTGAAATCGGAGTCAATGGCCTCAATGGCGCATAACCAGTTGACACGTATTCTTAATTGTGATGGAGGCGTGGTCGAGTCGGCAAAAGCTCATTGTTCATAAATTCGAAAACAAAGTCTCGAGTTCAACCCTCTGGCAGATAAGGCTCGATCACATCCAACAATAAAAATTAAGAACAAAGAAGAAGAAGAGGATATTGTTTTCAACAAAAGTCCGTATCTTTAAGTTCTCCATATGTCGCTGAACATGCTGACGACGTTGTATTGCGGACAGAGAAAAGTGCGCACATGGGTTTTTATATATTAGGATATTGGATTATTGCCTTCTAGAAGCTTAATGAACGTATTGAGATTTGAAATAGTGTCCTGGTCATTTTTACATAAAAAGACTAGTTGCAGAGATTGTTTATAATTTGTAGACTACCTTATTATAATAAAAATAGACCTATTGTCACGGTAGGTACATTACTTTTTAACATGCAAAGTGAACTAAACGTTTTCTATTTTCAGAGAATCTCGTAGCAGTTTATACAGCTAAAATACAACCATACAACGCTTTAAAATTGACAACAGATGACAGTGTATGTAACTTCAACCCCAGCACCACACAAATTGAAGTTACTTGGAATGTTTCTTATTCGTTTACATTTATATGGCTGTATTTTAACACACGTAGTAAGCTGGTCTATTGTGCCATATACACGTTTAAGTGCTACGATTTAATAATCATAGAAAACAATTTCTGACTATTATTAGCAAATTATTCACATTATATTTGGCATTACTTGCTTTGTGTTCTGCTTCTTGTTGTTGACGATGTGTTTGCAATCATTCAATAACGTATTTTGATTTTTAAAATTTACAGTAAATAAAGAAAATCTAACAACAGCTTTACAAATAAATAATAGAAGCATGGAACTTGGGCATATATTAATATTAAGCGATACGACGGCAGAAGTACGTGATCCAAGGATAACGACATTAAAACAAATCAGGTTTTCTGGTGATATCTATTATCAACTTTGCTCAATCTATGTTAATGGAGGTAAGTTTAGATGATACATTAGAAATCGTATTTTAATACAAAAGTAAATAAATACCTTAAATTGTAACGATATTAAAATGATTTTATGTAAGAAGCAAATTCTTTCAAAAGTAATATTTTTCTTATGAATATATATATATATATATATATATATATATATATATATATATATATATATATATATATATATATATATATATATATATATACTTCAATTATGTATGTGGTTAGCGGACGGACGGACCCGTGATTACAAATAAATAGAGGGAAAAATAGACTTGATCTCCATAGTGTGATATATCTAAAGCGCTCATCGTCTAATTTATGTTATTAAAAATTAATATTGAAAGTCTTATAAAACAAATTTTTATTTCCCAAACCTATAGTGTAAATTGACGGCTTGTGAAACAAACAACATTAAAGAAAATGTATCACCCTTCACAAACATTATAATTGCGCCTGAAAATTATTTTCATTTAGTCCCTTGTATCAGTAAAACAATTATTTCATTTGAATAAAAAACATTACATCGGGGGAAAAATGTTGCGCTTTACTTTACTTTGTTTTAGTGCTGGGAAAAAAATAATTACACATTTAGCATAGATTGATCAAGTGCAATGTTGTAGGTATTTTAAATTCTGCCTTTTGTTTATTTTATACATTGAACGTACTGTTTATTATTTATTATTTTTAATCAAAGACAGTTGATGAAAAAAAGACATATGTATGTATGCCTGGGTGTATGTATATATGTGAGTATGTGTACATGTGGGGTTGTATGTATTTGTGTATATGTGTATGTGTGAATGTGTGTATTTTTGTATGTATGTATGTGTGTGTTGTCTGTGAACACGATAACTTGAGTACCGTTACTGCTAGGTTGATGAAATTTTATATATTAATATTATATCAATTTGTAATTTTGCATCAACTTAACAGCGATTTTCGGTAACCGGAAGCGGAACTTAATCTACTTTTGATTTTTCATAGACTAAAACTCGAGTTCTGTTTCACGTAGATAAACAAAATTTCAAATATAAGTAAAAGATCTAATTCTCTGCCTTCTTTTTAATATTTGAGTAATTTCCGTTGAACGGAAGTAGTAATGTACGCTATTTCCGATTTCTCAAAAAAATGTATATGAGTTTATAAAGTACTAGTATTCCGCTCTATAATGCACATAATGTTTGCCGTTCACTTGGTGTGCAATTCTTTTTTCTACAAGTTTCTATTCTATTTTAAAAAGTTTAAGTATGTATCCATCATTATATCCCGAGTTACCATCCCCCGTAGTGTTATATCATACTATTTGAGAGTTTGAGATCACTTCCGCTTTTTCTTTGAAGCAAGCAATTGATAGGCCCGTAGATGTAGACTAGTGTTTTCAAAGAAAATTATTTGCATTTTTGTATGGTCGATTCTTTGTTTTGAGCATTTGTTTCATTTAACAAAACATTTCTCTCCATCGATAACTTTTTCGAATCTAAACACAATATTCCAATTGGATGAATTTTTTTTATTTATTTTAGAAACTGTCCAGATATATAGGTATTAAATATGTCGTACCTGTCATTAGTGGGGTCTAAATCGTCAAGGTTATCTCTTAACTTCACCGATTTAAGTTTGGAATCTTTCTAGAGGCAAAAATGAGCAGAAGGGAGATTAATAATTAGCATTCTAATGAAGTTTTTTTTAACCATTTGTGAGTTAACGTTGTAAGAGTTCTTGATGAACTATAAAAAATATTTTCCCGTATTCATTTAAGCTCGAGCAGTTTTTAAAGAGTCCTGGTTTGAAATAAACCTTGTCAAGTCGAAAATAGTAAGCTTTGACGGTTTTGAAGTGTGACAAAATACAGTTTGTAAAATTTCTCTTATGCCTAAATCACGTCTTGCTTAGTTGCACCTTGTCGATATATAAGAAACTAGTTTCTAGCAAAAGTCACAGGAAAATAATATTCAAACACAACATCAAGACCGAAAAATATTACTATTATATTATATTTGTTTTTGTATTTAATGAAAATGAAATAATAATATGATTTACACATTTTAAAAATTAATTTTAAAAGTTGTACGATATTGAAATTAACTGTTGTTAATTATAGAATGTTTGGTTGCGAAGAATAATTGTAGGCCGTGGGCTTAAGAATGGAAGATACCCCTGATTTTAATTTTAAAAATTCGTTTTGTTCTCAAAAAATTGCATTTGTTAATGCGGTAGTAACACCTTTTTGCTATAAGTTCCGACCATTTCAGACTTCTACTGCTAACGATTATCCTGTGATTGCAATGTGAAACATCAAACTACCTACCCCGTGAAATTTTATCACGACTAAGCAAACAGCGGCTACCTTCGAGCTTATATTACATAAACTGCACATAAATATATTGACCTAACACGTTGGTGTAGTGACATTTTTAAATGTTCTAAAAAATAAGTAGACAAACGTTGTTTTCTACAAATTAAATTTGATGCCAAGCTCAATATCAAGGCAGAAAAGCAAAAAAGAACAACAAATTATTGGCAAGATAGTCATTGATTCGCTTGACAGTTTGAACTACGGTTAAGTAAATCAAAACAATTCACGATAGGTTGCGACAGACCACGTTGGCTCGGTGGCATCTTGTTTCTATCTAAACAAAACAATTTCATGTGTTCGTTAGTTAGTTGAAATTGGTGTATCCTGTAATCTTTAATTTGTTTTTTTAACATCTACTTGGTTAATATTTGTAATTTGTCAAGAAATGTGCTGTTGATTGTCATTAAAACACCATAAATGATGTTTATGCCGCTTTAATACTAAGCTAAAGCTATGAGCAATGTCAATGTCTGTCAGTTTAAAAATAGGCGAATGCCGATCTCCTGTTACCCTGCTCGCTTTTTAAAATAACGGCACGTTTATTATCTCAATACATAGTATTGTGATAGGCTTCAACTTGTACATCTGACTTAACATCGTACGGTAAACAGCACACGGGTTAAAGCATAGGCCCTTTGCTACGTGTAATGTGTATTAGCAACTGATGTATTTACGAAATGGGATAGCTAATAAGCATTCACATCTTTCTACGGAAACCCTAACTACATGGATGTGTTATCACGGTTGAATGAACATAATTTGTAATTTATGGTTCTTCTAATTCACGCTATCAGCTTGCAGAGGGAAACAGGCGGGAGAAGGGCCTGTCTAGCCTCAATCGCTGAAGACTGGATGTCGTCGTAGGCTATTATCACGAGTCAATAAACGTGTGTAATTTAAAATTAAAGCATAACTTAATCTGGTCTGTTAATAATTACTCTTAAAATTAAAATCAATTAATACGATAGTTGATATATAATAGTCATTAATTAATTTCGTTTTGTAATCATACTTTCTGCTGACTTAACAAAAATCGATCGGAAACTGACAACAGAAAATAGCACGTATTTTATTTGTGAAATGGTTCTTCCACATAAAACAAGACTTCTATGTTGATGGCTTTAACAGGAACCGTACAGTGCTATTTTCCGCTCTTATTTCATTCAATTTTGCGTTTGAAATCAATATTTACAATTCAAATCCCTAACACACTGGAAACATCTTTATTAAGACTGAAACTTACACATGAATCCATAATTTGTTTTATCTACCTTATTGCGTTGTACTGCAATACATTAAAATTAGTGACATTTTTGTAACAACACTCCCTAATTTATTAAATAAGAAAATATGAATTAAAATAAACTAGCTATCACAACTGGAAAAAAAAACAACATAGAAATGTAGACATCGGTTTGAGAAATCTAAAACTATCATCATGTTTTAAACATTTTTTAGAGCAAAGTTAAACAGGTTTGGATAGGTATTCATTTTCACTTGTTATATTTTATGTATAAAATCGCATCTGAATTAAACAGTTGCAGGTACCTGGTTTGGCAGCAACCAACAGTTTCTGTGTCGATGTACCGACAACAAATGTTTACCTAATGGAACTTGTGCTGATGGTGCCAGTTGTTTAAGTGAATGGTTTGGTCCGTCTTGTCAATATCGTGAGTAAAATAAGTTTATTAATGTAGCCAAGTGTTTAAGTGAATGGTTTGGTCCGTCTTGTCAATATCGTGAGTAAAATAAGTTTATTAATGTAGCCAATTGTTTTGGTGAATGGTATAGTCCGTGGTGTTAATATCGTAAGTAAAGGAAATTGTCTTAATATATAAAAGCTCCATGTGCGCACTGCACTCTCTCTCTCTCTCTCTCTCTCTCTCTCTCTCTCTCTGTCTGTCTCTCTCATTGTCTGTCACATTTTTCCCGAGACTATGAGATCAGTATCTTATGCAATATATGCAGGAAAGGATACTAGACATATGTTAAAAATAAGATGTTACAAATACTAAATGTAATCACTGCATTTATTTAAAGACGAAAATAAAAATAAAGGCGAATTCGATTTTTGAAATACACTTCTACGTATTCATCCGAATAAGATTTTACGTTTGATTCTATGTTGTAAATAACACAAAACAATCATTTGCAAAGATAATGACGTTATATGAAACGCATAGGAAAATTACACAATGAAACAATGTTAATAAAAATTCAAAACTATCTAAAGTACATACCACTAAAGACGTCATTGATTGTAGGATAAATACATATAATTAAAAATCGAATTTCCAAAATGACACATTGTTGTAATGACGTAATCTTTAATTACGTTCGCTTCCCACATCTTCGAGTTTCAGAATATTATGAAAAAATGAACTATTTTAGTCAAATATGATTTAGATCTACTTATCAAGACGTTCGCTGTGAAATTTGCTTACGTTGTCGACCAAAGAAAATAAATTATTTAAAAAAAATATATAAATCACAAACGAAAACAACTGATTAAACATACACGCTTATATTTTTTTCATTGCGATTATAATTAAACAACTCTAAATCAGCATATAAATGGAGGACTATATGTGATGGAGAAAATCTTAATAAATAGTGCGATTTAAAAAAAAAATTCATTAGAGAAATTACATATTATCTGTAAAGATAAGAAGCATAAAGATAGTCAGCTTTACCGATGAAACGGGTACGTATGGCTAATGTTTAAATCTAGCCAATCGGTTCATTATTTTGTTGCATCCATTTTATATTTTCAATGTATTAAATAATTATTACATTATTATAAGTGAACTATTGGTTTTCACTTTTCAGAGAATCTCGTTGCAGTTTATACAGCTAAAATACAACCAAACAACGCTTTAAAATTTACAACAGATGACAGTCAATGTAACGTCAACCCCAGCACCACACAAATTGAAGTTACTTGGAATGTTTCTTATTCGTTTACATTTGTATGGCTGTATTTTAACACACCTGGTAAACTGCTCTACTGTGTCATATACACGTTTAAGGAATATATTTAAATAGTATGGGCAATTTACTTCTATACAATTATTATTATTAATTATTATCATTTTACTTGCTGTGTTGTATAATGCATTTCGTTGAAACGATGTATATTTGCAATCTGCAACAAAAAAATTTTTAATTACAGTAAATATAAAGAATCTAACAGCAGCTTTACTAATTAATGATAGAAGCATCGATCTAAGGCATATTTTGACATTAAGCAAAACAGCAGTAGAAATACGCAATCCAAGTATTTCAACATTCAACAACATAAAGTTAACTGTTGAAATATACAGTCAGCTTTGCTCAATCTATGTTAATGGCGGTAAGTGTACAGGATACTTGAATACTTGAATACAACAAATGGGGATATATATATATATATATATATATATATATATATATATATATATATATATATATATGTATATGTATATATATATATATATATATATATATATATATATATATATATATATATATATATATATATAACTTAAAGTGAAATGATCTATTTAGATAAATAAAGTCAACACTCGTTTTAAGTTTCTATCAATGTAATTTGTATCTTTAGGAAGAAATCTGGCACTAAAACAATCTACATCTCAAGACAGCTATTACGATGAAACACGAACATCATTTAACGCCATTGATGGCAACAGGGATCCTGATTGGTATACGGGAACATGCATCAGTAGTGTTCAAAAATATGAGTTTCACTACTGGACGGTGCAGTTTGATCAACAATACTTAGTCAACAGATATGTCTTGTTCAGTAGATCGGATTTCCCTTTCAGAAAATGTAAAGCTATATATTTATAAATTAAAAAAAAACGATTTCCTATGTACATCATTCTTTTAGCCCTTTATTTACTTAACTAAGAAATTGAAAATAAATGATATTCATCAATAATCAGTGGAGTAGGCGGGGGGGGGGGGGGGGAGGTAAAGTGGTTACATGGACCCGTCTATGAAAATATTTTTACTGTCAGAATACCACTGTTACTTATTTAAATACATCTCTGAATGAGTATATATGTATAAAAGTATATGTATGTTTAAAACAGTCATCTAAAAACTGACGCTATGTTCACTATGAGTTGGTTTCCACCAGAGTTTCTTCCAGGCTTAGCCCCCCCCCCCCCCCCCCCCCCCGCCACGAAAGAAGTTAAGTTTTACTTGATCTGATAAGCACTTTTGGGAAAACGCGTAATGAGGTACCAAAGTACCATGCAGCCAGAATCATAGCTATAGAAACAGGTAAATTTCTGTAAATATTGTTTTTGCAATAACCAGTAAAGAGGTGTGTGATCAATTCAGTGATCTAACCCATACATTATCATCCATGTAAAAGAAATATCTTCAAAGAACACAAAAAACAGTAGCTAATTAAAAAATGAATGATCTGAACTGCAAGACCAATATTTTAGTTATATGTAGGCTATTATTCAGAATGTTCCACCTATTAAATTTAGTCTTTTCTTCTAGGTTGTAAAACGTGATTTTAGACCAACTCTGATTTTAAAAAAACCTGTCATTATGCTGTTATATTTTAGCATTTATGATGACAATATATACAATTCTGATTGTATATGTAGATAACATATTTTTGTTAAAACAAATAGTATTTAGCTATTATATTACACACTAAGTGATTATTATGCTGTTTTGACATTAACAATTAAATTTATAGAAATATAGGCCTACATATTTATATTAAGAGAGTGATGTCATACAGCTAGTATATATACATATATATATATATATATATATATATATATATATATATATATATATATATATATATATATATATATATATATATAATGATGGAAAATATTTGAATCCCCCCCCCCCCTTAAGGCGATCCTGGCTACGCTTCTGTCAGTAATGTAATAGGTTATCAGTTAAAGTAGCATATTTATTATTATTGTGTGTTCAAAAGATTTAATACTCTTTCCAACAGTATTTCCCAGTATCTAACTAATTAGATGTGTTTAATGTTTTAACAATAATAATAAATATGCAACTTTAACAATTCACCAGGGACAAGACAAAGTTTAATATCTGCATCAATGGTTTTCTAAAGAATTGACATTTATTGTTGTGATTTTATGAGATTTGTATAAGTTTTTTTTTTCTTTTATTATCTAAAGTTATTATAAAACCTAATTGTCATTTTTACATGTTTAGTAGAGAAAATAGATTCAAACAGATTTTTGTGACATTTTAAATAGTTTTTCTTTCTTTCTAAGTTTCACCGTGCTGCTTAGACCGTCTACAGCGCTTTGTTCTGAAGGGCAGGGATGCCAGAGGCCAAACAGTGTTCATTTATCCAGAAAATGGAACTGTATCTCAGTTAATCTACACTGTAACATCTGAACATTTACCAGTATTCAATGTAACAGTTGAACTGACTTATGACATTCTCAACTTCTGCGAATTTGAAACTTATGGGGGTAAGAACAGAATTAATATTACAAAGCGTGTCCAATATAAAATTAGTATTTTCACTAAATGAAATATATCTGTTACATCATGTAACTCAGTGTTATAAAAGTATGTTTTTGTGTGTATAATATGCGCATTATGAACACGCTTATTGTAATACAACAGTATCTAATAAGATTAGCATCAAATGGTAGAGTACAATTTAGTATGGAAAGAAAGATGTATCAACCTTTACCTCACTGTTATGAATGGTATCTTAGGTATTCCAAAGGTATGAGAATTTGTTTGATATATATTAATAAAATATTGTGACTGTGTGACGAAGTACGTAAGTATGTAGGAGAATATGACCTTGTTGTTGGAGAGATAGATTACATCAGTCTTCGTGATGTTGTGCTAGGGTGTTGAAGTATTCGTCTGTCGTCGTGAATTTAGTCTATGTATTTAGCCGTGCAATAAACTAAGGAATGAACCAATGCGGTGCTTCTCAGTGATTCATATATGATTGTCATTTTTGATAAATCCACGTTGTCGTCCTCAAACTCGCATCGCAACACTCACCTTGGCCTTCACTATGGCCTTCATCTTCACCTTCAACTTAACCTTCAAATTCAAATGTATCCCAACTTCACCATTACCTGAAAATTAATTTCCCCTTCATCATTACCGTATCCTTCGTCTTCATTGGGTCTACGTCAAATTCCCGAAAGACACTTTCCCGAATGCCATTTGCCTGAAGGCCGATTTCCCGAATGGACACTTGCCCGAATGCGACAAATGCTCGAATGGACACTTGCCCGAATGCGACAAATGCCCGAATGGACACTTGCCCGAATGCGACAAATGCCCGAATGGACACTTTCCCGAGGGCCGTTTGCCTGAAAAATGTTAAAATAATATATTACCAAATACTCATTCGTAATCAACTTAAATTTGAAATTTTATAATCAATACATGATTAAGCAAAACGAAAAGAATAAAATAATGTTATATTTTACCACGCAGACATTCTTAATTAATTTGTGTTTGCTATATAAAAAGTGTACAAACATATTTTCATTCCTATCTATGAAACAACACAAAAAAATATCATTTTCGTTTTTGTCAGGATTTTAAAATGAATTTTGCTTTATTAATTAAATAATCGCTTCAACACATTGTCTAAACAATGTGCATTAAATGGAGATAAAACATAATTGACCATCTTTAGTTTGTAAATTCGACGCCTAGACAAAACCTCGTTCTTTGTGAAATGATCACTACACATGTTAAACAAAACAAATAAAATGAAACGGACGCGCCTCTGTTCAATGTTGCGAGACGCCGTGTCGCCTACGCCGTGTCATAAACGCCATCTAACCACCGCAACACGTTGGTTAAAAACGGTGTTCAAAACGTTTATGAAAAGAATGTAAATATTTAAACATCTTTGTTTTTATGCTTAGAATTGTGTTTATTATCAATATTTCAAACTAGAATTGATTAAGAATGTATATTTGGTAATATTATTTATTTTCTAATATTAACATCTTTCGGGCAAACGGCCTTCGGGCAAGTGGTTTTCGGGCATTTGTCGCATTAGGGCAAGTGTCCATTCGGGCATTTGTCGCATTCGGGCAAGTGTCCATTCAGGAAATCGGCCTTCGGGCAAACGGCATTCGGGCAAGTGTCGTTCGAGAAAACGTCCGGCTCCCACCTTATCATTATCGTTTCCTTATCCTTATATTTGTGTTCTTTCTTGCGTATAATTAGTGGACATGATCCGGTTAATGCTCGGGAAGTAGTTAAGTTCTTTGTTGTTTGTGGGTTAGGTACTGGGTGTGTGTGTGTGGTGGGTGGATGGTGAGGATTAAAATACAAGTGATTGATCTGGGGAGTGGAATAACGCAGGATGTGATCGGATTGATTGAATAGGTGTTTATTTACCTATCTGTATTAGTCTGAATATGTTTCAGAGCAGAGAAACATGTATTCGAGTGAGTTAAACGAAATGTTTCACTCGAGCTGAAAAAGTGCTTTTCTTTAACTTGCCCAGCCGTGTCATTAAATAAGCAATTTATATTTTTTTAGAATACTGTTGAACAATCAAAACAACATTAGAACGCTTGCTTTAATAAAATAATTCAAAAACTTGCATTGTTAAAGAAAGTGTTACGTGATTTCATTCGATTTTACATTTTACTATACATTCGTTTGCTTTTTTCACTTTTTTTACTTTCTCATATATACGAATTATAGAGAAATTCTTGTAATCGTGCAAAAAAAATCGAGATTTTTACAAATCTCGACGTTTTACACCTCACTGATACGGAAAAACATAATTTTGCCATCTTGTCCGTATGTCTGTGTGTGTGTCTGTTTGTCTGTCTGTGTGTAAACACGATAACTTGAGTACCGTTACAGCTAGGTTGATGGAATTTCATATATAAGTATTTTATCAAAATCGTAGATCCGTATCAACTTTTGAGCGATTTCCGATAACCAGAAGTGGTACTTTTTCTACTTTGAATTTTTCAAAAGCCTATAATTTGAGTACTATTTCAGATAGATAAATGAAATTTCACATGTAAGTAAAAGATCTAATTCTCTACATTCTGTTAAATTTTGAGTAATTTCCGTTGACCGGAAGTACTAATTTACACTATTTCCGATTTCTCAAAAAAAAATCATGTAAATTTATAAAGTACTAATAATATTGCGCACTATTATGCACTTTTTTATTTGGCGTTCACTTGGTGTGCAATTCTTTTGTCTACGAGATTTTATTCTATTTTTAAAATTTTAAGTATTTAAAATGGATTAAAAATCATGTCTATAGTCCGAGTTCCCATCCCCTGTTGGTTTATATAAGAATATTCGAGAAAGTTTAGGGGAGATCACTCCCGGTTTATTTTTCTTAGAAGCAATTTTCTTCTAAAAAAGGTTTTATTAAATTAATAAGCAAATCCGTTTATTCGAATTTTAATTTTTAAAAATAGAACACTCACTATATTTTGAACACAATTGTTAATTAGACAATTATAGTTTATAGCATGTGAAGATTAACCTTAATCGCATTTTCAAGTTTAGAGGCTATACCATTATTTAATAGTCGATTAGCTATCCCCATGATATAGGACTACTTGTTTTACAGGAATTAAACATATGTAATATAAATGACGCTACTTTAGAAAAAAAATCACAATACACTATTATTACTATTATACACTATAAACCAACAGACTCCATCTGCCCACCCGGCAAATTTGGCCTAGAATGTAACAAAGACTGTCGATGTAGAAATGACGAGCCCTGCTTTACAGACACAGGAACTTGTTCTTCAGGATGTGCTGCAGGTTATACAGGGATGGGATGTCAGACACGTACGTTGGGTGAACACATTATGTTGTTTATTTTCAAATAATCTTAGTTGTGTATGTCCTAACAATAGAAGTATCCAATAATGTACCAAGCTGTACTACACCCACCATTTAAACCCGGAATCCAGTAGTTAACACGACTTGAATTCAACTTGTAGATAGTGCCTAAAATATTTATGTTCTTTGAAAAAGGGTTATATTGCACACTGATTTTGTAATTTTGTATGAATGTATATGACTTAAACTTTTAGTCTCAAATAAACAAAATAAGGAAATTTTAAAGATGATTATATAGTCTTTTTTATTTTTAGAAAGTAAGTAAACTTTCAAAATATGCTAAAATCGTAATATTGAAATATGTAGGCCTAGATGCAAAATTATTTCAAAATATTTTTGACTACTGCAATATTAATTTTATATTAAGGGTGTCATAAATCAGTAAATAAAATAACGTTTGGGTTGAAAGTTGTTTGTTTTAATATTAAAGGAAGTTATTAAATTAATAAGCTTAACAATATTTAATATATTTAAAGTGAAAAATCTATATACCAATTTTACTTTTATAATTATTTTGTACTAGATATTTAACTAGAAGTTAATTATTTGAGTTGACTGCGGCTAAATTACGTGCACGTAGAAAAAATTGTGGCTTATCTGTGGAGCAAAATGTATAAAAAATGTACTAGCCTGAAAGGACGTTTAAATACAGCTTACTTCATGTTTGTTTAGTTAATGTTAGCCTACAATACACTGAATAATAAATAATTTTACGTCTTTTTTTCTACACAGCATGTAGCTCAGGAACATGGGGAATAAGTTGTAACAAGTCATGCAGTTCACACTGCGCTGGAGATAAATCTTGTGAGCCAATAAAGGGTACTTGCAACAGTGGTTGTGTTGATGGGTATAATGGAGACAAGTGTGATCAAGGTAACAAAATTACAGGAAGCTGTACACATATTATATTCAGTAAACGTTCAGAAATAAGATGACATTCTCATGTATTAAATCAATCTCTTCATATCCAATACCAAATTTGCGATTTACGGTTTTACACATAGAAATTGAGTCCTAATTATTTACAATTGTTTAGAGAACCACTAGATTTATGCGATAATATATCAATCCACTTCATCAACAATTTATTTCGTTTAGTTTGGGAATGCGTCGCTTTCTTTTTGTTCTTTGAATGTCAACATGATCAATGGTAAGTATTTCTTATAATATTTATATAAAGCCTTTTACTGTTAATCTTAATAAAGAATAATTCAATTAAGTATAACGTATGTTTGCTCAACTAGTTTGTTACATTTTTTTTTGTAAAATAAAAAAAAAACATTCAAGAGGGGAAAACAATAAAGCAATGAGATAAACATTGTGGTCCCATCACTTGTACTTTAAATAGTGAATTGTATTAGGTTTTAATATTAGATGGCTTTTGGGACTTCGTGCTTGAGTGGCATTTCATTTGGACTTTGCGGTATAATTTTGTCTTTTTCGTAACATATGTTAGATTTTATTATAAGAAACATTTTTTTAAAATTATGATTAAAGTCATCTAAAAAGTATTCATAATGTAATAATGCAATTCTGTCTATTGGTATTAACTTTTATTTTAAAAATAAACATGGTAATTTAATGATTTATATTCTTGTGAGTTTATTAAAAGATAAAAACATACAAATTACGTTATTTGTTTATAAAATTGTATGATCCAAATTACGTCTATTACAGTTGGGAACAACGTTTAATTTGGCAATAACCAACAGTATCTGTGTCGATGTACCAACAACAAATGTTTACCTGATGGAACTTGTACTGATGGTGCCAGTTGTTTAAGTGAATGGTTTGGTCCGTCTTGTCAATATCGTGAGTAAAATAAGTTTATTAATTGGGTCAAGTGTTTGGTGGATGGTTTGGTCCGTCGTGTCAATATCGTGAGTACAATAAGTTTATTAATGGTGCCAAGTGTTTGGTGGATGGTTTGGTCCGTCGTGTCAATATCGTGAGAAAAATATCAGTGTAACTAAAGGTACTGATAGGCAAGTATAAAACTACTTTCTCGTGAATACAGGCTGATTTCCTAGCATCTTATTCTGGTTTTTGCAGAGAATCTCATCACCGTGTACACTGCAACAGCTCGACCAAACAACTCACTAAACTGATAGTCAGTGTAACGTGAATACAAACAGCCAATACATCCAAGTGACATGGAATACTAGTTACCCCTTTACATTTATATGGATACGCTTCAACTCATCACGTACCAAATTGTAAATGTATTTGTGATTTTAATATTCTATTATATTATTATTATGTTGTACTGCTATTCATTTAGACTAGCTTTAGTGTATACGGTATATAAATAATATGAGAAGTAATACTGTGGTGTTCGGCTGCCAATTCCAAATTAAAAAAAGCAATGATATTATTAACGTTCTTCTTAGCATATGTTTATCCTCTAATGTTTAATGGATTATTACTACAGGTGCATCAGTGTAAAATTGAATTGTTTCAGATAATAAATTTAGAGCTATTATCTACAGCAACTGTCTCCGAATAAAGAACATGGCTTTAGCAAATCTAAAGTGTTAAGAGCCACTTGTTAGTTTTGCATTACATATATTTTGAATTGCATTGTAAAATTAGTCTATCAGCTTTTCATGCATTTTGACAGATATGTCAGCAACTTACTCTCAGAAAGCGCTCTCGACGCTCGTGACAACTGTAATGACAACTGTAATGACGCTTCGGGGATCACTGCGACCTCTGTCAACATCTGGTATACGGATGCGTACTTCAGCTTGTTTAAATTTTGTATTTGATGTGTTAAGCATCTTAGCACCTTGAGTTTGCAAGCTAGTATGAGCTGCTGACCTTTTCTCCATGATTTCTTGTTTATTGTGACATAATCTGTAAGTAATGTTCCCTCCATACCCTTCGTCTGCTTTATTAGCTATTCCGCATTTTGCATGGACATCGTTGCCACAGGGTCCATAAGAATGGGCTGCACTACATTATTTTTTCACAAACTACACATATTCTGTTGGCCATATTATTGTCACGCAACTGGTCTGGACGTTGCGCCACGGCAGCATATGTGTTAGCTGAGGATGTGTTAGCTGAGGATGTCGTTGCATTTATGGTAACCTCCATTTCTTGTTCAGTGTTCTCAAGATCTTCCTCAGTAGCTAAATTATCGAGAGTCTAGATAGGACATTGGCCAGGACATCCGCGCATTGGCTGGCCAATTTACAAAATACGGTGTCAAATTTAAGCGCTTTGGACTTTGGTCAGTATGTCCCGGCCAGTGCGCACATTAGTTAGCCAATGCGGGGTTTGGCCGTACTTCGGGCTTTGGCCGTATTATGTATATAGATAATACGAAATATTTCGACGCAATGGTATGTGCGTAGCTGGCCGAAATGAGCGTGCAATGGAGACCCTTTAAGTGTAAGGGTTCGTAACACATCATTTCAGTGTTAAATTGTTTTTGTTTTAATTTTCCCACATTGAAAATGAACAGTTTGGAAAGTAAAATGCACGCGAATGTTTCTTATTTTATTCGTTAGCTTTAAAGATGTATTCATATGTTATTCATATGAAGTTCGAGTTCAGAAACTATTATAGAAAGTCTTACTAACATCATTTAGCTCCCGTACATGAGAAATAAACTGCTCGTTGTCGTGTAATTCACAATTAGGGGGAGATAAATCTTGTGACTAAGTGAATTGTACAAGCAAACTGGGATTGTGGTGATGGGTATACTGAAAATGTGTGTTTACTTTATGAATTCTAAAAAATTGGAATTAATATTCTCTTTATGTAGTCAATTATTGTTCCGCATGTCGTAAGACAATGACATTGTAAACGTAATATATGTACACTATTTATAATACGAAACTAACTCATTCAGACTGACTTGTGTAAGTTATGTAGTCTTGCGTTTTGAAAAACATAAAATCGCTATTTTACGTAACTAGTAAAATATGTAATTATGATGTGACTAATATCACATCGGAAAACTCCGCAAATTAAATTGATCAACCAATTGTTTGTAGTATTAATGCAACAATACAAACAACAACTCATCTTATAAATGTTATAGTTTGTTTTATTCTCCGGCAAATGCTTAACTAATAAATTAGATTATTCGCATTTAAAATATTTATTTTCTGCCTTGCAGAAGTCGATTCTATTGAAAATGTTGAAAGCAGAGGCATCGGGATCGGCATTGGAATAGGAGCTTTGATCACATCTACTGTTTATCTAATCGTCCTCTTGGTTTTGTACCGCTTTAAGATATTGGCATTAAATAGAAAATTGAGAAATGAGAAAGATAGAACATTAACTAAACCAGAAACAAAATACCAAACAGGTAAATATCATTACTCTCAGTTTAGAAAACAAATGGATTAAAATAATAAAAAATTAATTTAAAATAGTTTAATATATATATATATATATATATACTAGATAAATGGCCCGTTGAGGAAGGGTACAACGGGCGCTAGGTTGATAGTGCTGTCTCTTTTCTCTAAACTAAAACCATCCCACCCCCCCCCCCACACACCCCCACCCCCCCCCACCCCACACACACCACCCCCACCCCCACCCCCCACCCCCACACACACCTCCACCCCCCACACACCACCCACCCCCACCCCCACCCCCACCACCCCCACCCCCCACACACCTCCCCCCACCCACCCCCACCCACCCACCCCCACCCCCCAAAAAAACATGTCTACCGTCCCATTCAACGAAATATAATTATATACTTTTTCCAGTGTCCGCCCCCTTCCCGAAAATTCTACCCCCGCCCCCGAAAACCTCAAGTACCCCCTGCCCCTCTCCGGGGAGGAAAAAGTCTGAAAGAAACACTGGTGTCGCGCTTAGCCACTACGCGAAGAATTGCATTAAAGAAATTGCGAGAAAACCACTTTTTAGATTAGACACATTAATTAGGTGGTAATTTTATTATAGAGTATCGATGAGGAAACCACCCCACCCCACCCCCCCACCCCCACCCCCACACCTCCACACACCACCCACTCCCACCCCCACCCCCACCCCCCCACCCCCACCCCCAACACACCACCCGCCACCCCCCCCCCACACCACCCCCCCCCACACACCACCCCCCCCCCCGCCACCCCCCACCTCCCACCCCCCACCCCCCACTCCCAAAAAAATCATGTCTACCGTCCCATTCAACGAAATATAATTATATACTTTTTCCAGTGTCCGCCCCCTCCCAGAAAATTCTACCCCCGCCCCCGAAAATTTCAAGTACCCCCCACCCCTCTCCGGGGAGGAAAAAGTCTGAAAGAAACACTGAAACCAACCCACCCCCCACACACCACCCCCCACCACCCCCCCACACACCCCCCCACCCCCCCCCCCCACACACACCACCCCCACCCCCCCCACACACCACCACCCCCCCCACCCCTCCACCACCCCCACCCCCAAAAAAAACATGTCTACCGTCCCATTCAACGAAATATAATTATATACTTTTTCCAGTGTCCGCCCCCTCCCAGAAAATTATACCCCCGCCCCCGAAAATTTCAAGTACCCCCACCCCTCTCCGGGGAGGAAAAAGTCTGAAAGAAACACTGAAACCAACCCACCCCCCCACACACCACCCCCCCCACCCCCACACACCCCCCCCCCCCCACACACACCCCCCCCCCCCCACCCCTCCACCCCCCCCCCCCCCCCCCCCCCCCCCAAAAAAAAACATGTCTACCGTCCCATTGCAAGAAAACCACTTTTTAGATTAGACACATTAATTAGGCGGTAATTTTATTATAGAGTATCGATGAAGAAATTTCTTTTGAGTTGGGGAGGGGGGGGGGGGCTCAGACGTTCTTACGCGTGGGGTGGGGCTTCGCCCCTACCCGAAGAATTGTATGCAAGAAACTCTTCACGCAAACCATTTAGATTAGACAACATTTCCTTTTTTTCAATGTTTACGCGATAATCAATGACGTCATATTACTGTGTGCACTCTCTGGTTTGAGATTATGTTCTACTCTACGCTAAATGTGTCGACGTCATATTTCGTTTTTCGAATTACTGTGCATGTTTTTATTTTGCTTGTGTTTTCTCTAGAGCGTTCTTGTCAGACAGAGCGTTCTTGACAGACAGCGAAACTATTATTATAGATATATATATATATATATATATATATATATATATATATATATATATATATATATATATATATATATATGCGTTTGTAATTTACAATGAACACAATAATATGGATCATGAGTAAATTCCCCAAAAATTAATATAAAAATTCATTTACCAAAATTTTGAATCGTTTTTTAAATTGATTCTGTTATTGTTTACCCAGAACACAACCACGCCTACGATGAAGTGACAGATATAGAGGCGTCTGGCATCCAACAGGCTCAAGGAAACGGAAATGTCAATGAAAGTATACACGCATATGATGCCATCAATCTAGAAGATGTGGGGAAACAAAATTCAAATTATTGCACAATTGAAACGTAGATGATTTACATGACTTTAATATGTAACTATGGAAAGTAGCGCCTACACAAACACTAATCGCGTCATCTTCCAATTTTAGAAAATAAGGAAATGAACTATTTCATTGAAATATGATTTAGATCTATAGATCTACGTATCGGGACGTACGCTATGAAATGTAGACCTATATGATTTTCTCGGCCAAATGTAATACAAATTACTTTAAAAACAACAGAAATACCATTGAACAGCCGGGTTTTTAAAGGAATCATTTAATAAGTTTCTTAATCAGTTTGTACATTAAATTTAATATGGTGTTGTGTTGACTAATAATGTATATAATTTAATTTTTCTAATATTGGTATTGGTAGCCTATGTTATTTTAAATGTGCCGAATTTTAAGTTATTTTGTTATTTCATTGCTTTGTCGCTAATATCGTTGAACGTGTAGTAAAGAACATTTAGTTTTGACCAAATAACTATTTTATAAAATATATTTCTCAAACATGTTTAACATTAAAAATAGATAGACCTATAATTCACGTGTAACGGGTACCGACGGCTAGTATGTATATAACTACCTTCCAGTAGAGTCGCCATTAATTTGTTATTTTATAGCCTGAAGTGTTCCTTAACTTATTTTATTCTAAAGTAATAATTAAATGTGTACGATACTCACAACGTGCAAAACTAGATCTTCATTGTTATACTCAAATTTGAAGAAAGATGTGCACGATGTGTGTTAGTACATCAGAATGTACATGTATTAATACACATCATGTACATGTACATGTACTTGCAATTATTTGGCAGGGATTTTACACAACAGAGTTTCTACGATAAGATGTGCCAACCGAGATCTACATTTTTGCTAACAACAAATCTTTTATTTAAAAATATTATAAAATATTATATATATTTTAATATATATTTTTATATATTATATTAATTTTAATAAATTAAAAATGATATTTACAACAGGAAACTATACAATATATATAAGTAAGACTATAGAATTGTCTGGTGTATGAATCTAAAACCGTTGATACTTAACTTAATTCTCCATCTCTTTCTTATTTGATTAGTAAAATAAAATTAGACACTGCAAAAAACAATAATAATACAAAGAGGTAAAAACTCCCGGTTTTTTTTTATCTCCAACCTACCATTGCACATATCTTAGCACGTGAT